GTGTAAAATGGGACTATTTTTCTTAAAATGGTTACTTATTTCTTCTTGACTATAAAAGAATACCTTTTATGTTTGCATGGTAAATATTAGATACAAAATATTCCTACTGACACCATCACAGACTGACCTGTACATAATGGTGGAGGTGCAGTTCTTGTCAAACTTCCTGAGCAACCACTCGAGCTGCTGCTGATCCAGAGGTATGTTCGCTGCCTGCATGCATGACAACATTATTTTCACTATACTCATCCATACAATAGTTAATATCTGAATACTAGTTAAATACTTTTCTTTGATAGATTGTTTGCTGTGAGAAAGTAAGCCTGACCTTCACAGCCTTTCTGAAGTCAGAGGTGGAGACGTTGGTTGTTCCTTCTTTATCCAAAGCTTCAAAGAAATCCATAATGCTCTCATTTCGCTCTGATAGGAATTTCTATTTAAGAATCCAAATTTAAGTTTCAAGATTATACATTTAAAGAAAATATCTCTGGGACCTCTTTTAGGATGCTATTAACATTATGAGCATAAACACTGGAATCCTAGTTATAACTATTAACCTATTTCCCCCCAGATTTCTCTTTCCTGACCACTGACCCGTAAGATCTGGAGGGCAGATAGGTTCCTGGTGACGTAGCTCATGGCGCTGTGCCGAACATCCAGAGCAGGACGCTTCTGACGGGCTTCTTCCAGCAGCTCCACAAACTCCTCGTTCACAAACACCGTCTGCACAAACACGGTCAGAGCTTAGAAGAAGCTCTAAAGGCATTCAATACAAGATAAATATTATTATTCATGTTCTGAGAGGAAATGTACAGCACTTACAGAAATATCAATCTCCTCCAAGGCTGATTTCATGTTCTTTTTGACCGTTTTTAGCAGCGTGAGAGCTCCAATATTCGTCAGGGGGTTTTGTGAGAGCTTAACAAAATACAGACACACCAAACCTAACAGTTAGAGTGCCATGATGCTGCATAATAAATACCAGTGATCCACCTGTTTGCATGCTCACCTTGAGGACCCCGAGGGTGCCGTTGGTGATCAGACCCTGGCAGAGAAGTGTCACAGCCTGATCGTCCACATGGTTACCGCTGAGGTCCAGCAGCACAAGCGTCCTGTTGTTTTTCAGGGCCTGACCCAGTGACTCCGCCTCCATTTGGCCGAAAGCGTTCCACGACAGATCGAGCTGCTTCAGAGTGGAGTTTACCTGAGGAAAATGTGAGTGAAATGTCTGTGATAGGAAACAGAGCATTATATATACACTATGCATTATGAGTGTGTTGTTCTGGTCACCTTCAGCCCTGCACTAACAGCCATAGCACCACCCAGACGAAGGGGGTTCCAGCTCAGGTTTAGGACTTCAATGCCTACATTTGCAGCTTTATGAAAGGGGAAACAAATGTCAAAGTACAAAATACGTATCACAAATAAAAAATATAAATATTTCATTTTTGCAATGACATCAATAAGCTGTAAAGTATAATATCCTCAGTTTGTTTTGACTGCTAAATATATGTTAACATTTTTGAGGGTTTTTGGAATTGACTGTCACTGTACTGTAATGTAATTCTTGCAATATAAGAATGGGCCGACAAATTGTTTGCTATATTAGTTTAATTTCTGCCAGGCAAATCACAAACTGAAGGGGGAATACGGTATTGAAATATAATTGGTACGAAAATTAGTGTTCACATTATGTACAAGACATGGTTTTATCCATGTTTGAATAGAGAAAACATGCAACAACGAAAAAGGTTTGATTGATCTATATTTATTGAAGGAAAAAGTTAAAATTATAAAAATGTGATTTGGAATTAATTTGTGATATCTGTATGAGTTTTGTAATTGAATGACGTGTTTATTTATATGACGGATTTGGCTTCAGCGGTGAAATTCTCCTAATACAGTCAGCCCTTGAGCAAGGCACCGGAATACCCCCCCCCACTCCCATTGCTCCCCGGGTGCTATACAATAGCTGCCCACTGCTCCTAGTACTAGACCTCTGGTACTAGGATGGGTTAAAAGCAGAGAACAAATGTCACTGTGTGTGCTGTGTGCTCTGCATGTGTGACCATTAAAGAGGGTGTCATCCCTCCAATTCTATCTATCTAGAAATAAGCTAGTGTACCTAACATATGGCCCAGGTGTTGTCCTCCTGTAAAACTGAACATGTTGTGGCTGACGTCCAGCTCTTTGATCACATAGTCTCCCTAAAACGAAAGAGAATGTTGAGGATTAATGCAAATGTAGACCAGATACACTCTTGATTCATTCTATATATTCATAAAATAATTGCAAAAATGTTTCAGATTCAATATATTGTACTAACCTTTAAAGCATCGGCAAAATATTTTGCTGCAGCATCATCAAAATCATTTCCTAGGGAAGAAGGGGACATTTATTTATTGATTAGTATAAAACGTATTTCCATTGTGTTACAGCGAGAGGTATACAAAGGACTCAATAACAACATCCTAAATGGTTCAAATACTTAGTTGGTTACCTGAAAGTTTGAGGGATTTGACGTAGTAATTTTCTGACAGCATTTTGGAGATGGTGTACGCTCCTTCTCGGCCCAGCTGGTTGTTGGAAAGATTCTGATACAAAAAGATTTAAGAGATTAAACAAGCTTTTGTGTATTATTAATATTTATTTTAAGAATGTGTCATTCCTCTTGCAGTTAAGAGCAGATGATTACCAGTACAGTTTTTCAGAACTAATTGTATTCAATAGTTATAGAATATTTACCAGACTTTGGATGGTGATGTTTGTTTGAAGCATCTCCGTCAGATAGCGTGTCCCCTCGGGCCCAAGTGAGTTTTCCTCCAGCTCAAGGTTGGTGATAGTAGTGTCAGTCTGGAAAAACAATAAAATTAGTGAAATAATGATATTAGAATAGATAAAATAGAATCGGAGGGATGAAACCCTCTTTAACGGTCACACATGCAGAGCACACAGCACACCCAGTGACATTTGGCCTCTGCATTTAACCCATCCTAGTACCAGGAGTCTAGTACTAGGAGCAGTGGGCAGCTATTGTACAGCGCCCGGGGAGCAATGGGGGTGGGGGGGGGGGTCCGGTGCCTTGCTCAAGGGCACCACGGCAGGGCCCAGAAGGTGAACTGGGACCTCTCCAACTAGCAGTCTCTCTGTCTAAATGTAAAGACTGCGTTGAAAAGGAAATAAGTCATTAACCCAACCTTACACAGACCCACCATCACCTTACTCATGATAATTAAAAATATTTCATAACAGTAAATATAGTTAAAGGTAACAAAGCCACCCTACTTGCAGAACTAAAGCCAGAGCTTTGGTGCCCAGAGGTCCTACACCATAGTGGTTTAGGTTGAGATTGGTGTCACCCAAGTTACGGAGAAAGGATGATACAGGAACTGAGCCCGTCCTCTGACAGGCCTGCAGGTACAGCTCTGCACGGGACTGACTCTGCTTCTGATCGGTGGCACCTGGAAGGAACAACACAGGAGAACACAGGAAGAGAGAAGAGGTGAGGGCGTTGAAGATTATCCATGTTTATAAGACTGTATTGTCACTTTAACCTACTGTCTGTTTCCAGATCAGTGTCCCACTCATCGCCACTGTTGCCCTCTTGACCCTGGCTTGGCTTCTCCTCATCTTCCACCTGATCCTCGTTTCCTGTGAGCAGGTCTGACTGATCAGATAGCTGCTGCTCTTCCTCTTCCTCAAACTGTTCCATCATCACACCACAAGTCCACCTAACCTGTACCTGCACAACCTCTGAGGAGAAGATGTGAGCTTTTGTTAAAATATTTTCTGTAGCAGTATAAACTGAACAAGTGAGGAAATATGGTATACAACAGATTAAACTCAATGTATACAGGAGTGCAAAGTTCATTTTTAGTTAACCTGTATTTGTTGAAGACCAAAAAAAGGTCGTATCTAGCTAGCGTTAGCATTGATTAGCTTTTAGCTCTCGTGTTTATTAGCTGTTTTCATTCATAAAAAGCGACGGTTAAAGCAAAAAAAAACCTAATTAAACCTAATTTTGCAAAGTATTTAAAACAAACATTTGCTCTCTGTTTGAAAGCCACGTAAGATTGTATTAGTAAAGAACACTACTGCCTACCTGAACCAGTTTTGACACTTTTGAAAGTGAAGCCTCACCAAAATAAAGATGGTTTAACCGCAGGAAACCAACGGTTGTTGCCATGGAATTCATACTCTCAATGGAAATTCGATTGAAAATAAAGGTTTAAAGAAATATGATTTTAATATTGTATTTACGTTTAGCCTCTCTGACAATATATCAGCCAATATTGTTAGGTGATTTGTCGTGTCTACTGCAAATATGTAGTTCATACCACTAGATGGAGCCGTTGACCGCATCTGATCCGAGCCATGAACAGGCTATAGTTAATGCTGCAGCAGAAAAACCACACACATTTCACAATTCACTCTATGTTTTAGGGTGTACTTTCTCCCAGCAAAAATGGTCCCAATTGCACACAAAAAATGCTGCTGTTTTAAAATGTAGTGACAGAGATTATGCTGTCCTCCATCAGCAACAAATGTACTAGTCTTGAAATAACATTACAATATTAGTATACAATTCTACAAACAAAGCAATGCTACCAAGTCTTCTATCAAAAATTAAGAACAGAGGTCAAAGCATGTGAAGGTATTGAAGAAAGTGTCACAAATAATAATTCCAAAAATATTTACAATTAAAGGTGTCTTTTTATGCTTTAAAGAAAGTAATGTAAAGATGCATTCTAAAATATTGCATTAATGTGGTAATAATCATGCCTGGTAGCAATACATTCATGATTAACCTTTACTGAGTTGCAAATGAAAGTAAACCTGTGTTTGGCAATGTGCCTCAACCGAAGAAAACATGATTGCACAACCTTTGTCACTTGCTAGTTTAAGTGTCATGCTTGGGAGGAAGTAATAACCTACAAGGATTTTAACTGAAATCTTGCATGTCTGATGGGGTAATTGCAAACAACAAGACATGCTCTTTCTTGTAGTTTAGAAAATAAAATTTAATCTATTCAGGGTAACAGTCATACATAGCAGATACAGGTCCATAACAGACATTGAAATACTGCTCAGCTGAAAAGAGTGCTGCTTGTTTTCACAGCTGTTAGATAGCGCAACATGACAGACAAAGACTGGAAAAGATTGAAAAGACAAATCACATCAAGTGATTAACAAGCATTTCATATATGTTTATGTATACAAAGCAGTATAAAACAAGTACATAATGGACAGACAATAAGTCCTAAAAACAAGGGTGTAAACATTTTGTGTTTATGTGCTTTTTATGACGCCAGCGTCACCACAAATCGGATCAACCGGTAACTGCCATCGTCGAGGCAGGGTAAAGAAATCAACATTACAAAAAAAAACTCTACTCTGTTTGGTGTACTTGTATTGAGTATTATGTCCTAAAAACTCTACACCTGTATATTTCCGCTAGCATACAAAGGGAAGCTGCAAAAGCCTTTTTGGGTATCTGCATTCAAAAATGCCACACAATCTACTCAGGGCTTTTGTAACAGAGCACCATTTTGATATTAGTGTGTTTCCTCGGCGTTGTTTCCAGTCGTACTCTTCTTTTTCCATTGGTCCCTTTTATGTAGAGATGGTTGAAGTAACATTAGGCACAGCGGGTGTCAACAACAACAACAGTTAATATGGAGATGAAACTGGATATTGCCAGTCTTCCAATGGACAGAGCCAGCTCATGTAGCAGTACTAAGGAAGCCCTACAACCTCAGGTCTTTGGGCAGAGTCTCCAAAAGTCTTGGAGCTCAAGTGCTTGTTTAGATATTGCCAGTTATGTTTTTCATTTGAAATGGCTACCACGTGGTGCTAGTTTGGGCGTCAGGGACCCCTGCGTCCCTGGTTTCACTTGGCGTCGGTGGACAGCTGCTCCAGAAAGGGGTTGGCCTCACTCTCAGGAGTTTTGACACTGTCGGTCCTCACGATGCAGGTGGGCCGGTGGAGATTGAGCATCACCATTAGCTGCTGCCTCTCCATACGGAGCTCCTCGATCTGGGCCTTCAGGTCGGAGTTCACCACCTCCAAACGCTCCGACTCCTGGACAAAGATGTTGAATTATGAGATACTACCAGACAAATACAATGTTCAGAGTACTTTCATCAGCTGTTCAGGTTAACTTAAAGGTCCCCTATTATACTGTTTTTCATCAATATATTATAGGTCTCAGACATATACAAAACATGTCTCTGAAGTGTTTGGCTCGAAATACCAAACTGATCGTGCATTGTAGCATCCCATAATCCCCTCTGTTTCAGCCCTGTTTCCAAAGTGCTGATTCTCTGTCTGTTACTTTAGATGAAAATAAGGAGCCACTCCCCACGCCCCTCTGAGAGATATTTGGTTAAAAAAAGCACAATGGTGCTCTAGGAGGAGATTCAGGTGATAAGGTGGGGGGGGGTTACCTTGGTTGGTTATTGGCTAATGGTTTCACAAGCCAAAAAATCGTTATGACATCATAAAGTGGCCAAAATCTGCCCAAAATCAGCTCATTTTCAGACAGGTTTTTATATAAATGGATCAGGACAAAAAGTGAGCCAATCTTTTGTCACGTTCTTGGCTTCCATTCTTAACCTCTGCAATGCTGTGTCATGAACTCACCCTTTGAAGGAAGTCAGTCCGTTCCTTCTTTTTGTTTCGGCATCGCGCGGCTGCTACTTTGTTTTTGTCTCGTCTCCGCTTCCTCCTATCATCATCTTCATCCATCTGCAAACGAACATTTTATCAATAAACCTACAACCAATAGTGGTAATTGCCTCACCAAAACAACATGCATGTTGTGCAACCTCTATAGTAAATATTGTTGAGCACTGGAGGGGGGAAAATTCAACATACAAAATGAACAAGCCAAAGTAGGCTATACTGTATTTTCAGTTTACCATACTATGTTTACTGATCATCAACATTAATATAGTAATCTGCATAGAAATATTTGTATTGTCTTCACACTCTATCCTCAAACAAGCTCAGATCAATGCACCTACAACTACTGACAATAACATTTTATGGATAGAATATATATTTTATACCAACATACTGTATATATTAAGCCTACTGTCAGGACATTAACTGGTACCAGAATATTAAAGGTGGGGTAGGTAAGTTTGAGAAACCGGCTCGAGATACAATTTTTGTTATATTCCATGGAATGCTCTTAACATCCCGATAGCAATGAATATCTTAAGTGCTTTGACAACAAATCCATAAAAAATGTCATCTGTGGAAGCCGTAGCGCTGTAAAAAGCACGACCAATCATTTTAGCCGGCCCGGCTAAAATGATTGGATGGCCTACCTGCGTGTCAGCCTTCCATCTGTGCACAAACTTATCTCGTGCACGTTCCTGTGTGTTGGAGGAGGGGCTCTGAAAGGAAGTGGCAGATTTCTTCCGGCTGTGTATTTTCAAATTCTAGCGCACTCGAGCTGGTTTCTCCGAAATTACTTACCCCACCTTTAAGTATTTCCGTAATTATAAACCTCTCTTTTTATATTCTTTCCATTATTTTATTTTAATGAAAATAAATCTTGAATTGCTTGCGTTTGATTAATTTAAGAATGATTACAATTACAACTGTAAACTTAAGTATATAATACAGATTATGATAACAACTGCCTTAATGGATGACTTTAAAACATCCTGAGTCTAAAACCCTCCTTCTTCTTCTCTACTGTCTGACTCGATGTACATCTTTCACCTCCTGCTGCACTAGCTCTTCTTTCTCCCCCTCCTCACCTCTGTCTTGATGGCCAGCGGCCTCTTCCCCAGCCGCCCCAGGAAGTGCAGCGGGGACAGCATGGTGCCCAGCTGGCGGAAGTCAGCTAGCTTGAGTTGATCAGTGAGTGTGGTGGCCGAGATGCCCGCCAGCGGGCCCAGGCAGGGCAGGGAGCCCGCCGCCATCGAAGGGTCAGGTATCTGTCCTGGCATCATGTCCGACCCGGCCACCACCGCCGCTACGGGAGAGAGAAGAGAGGGAGAGAACGATTAGGACGAGAGAAGTAAGCCTTAAAAGGCAGTTGTTGACAATACAAATAACCCATTTTTGTATACGCAGTGGAAAGCATGTAAAGACATGTTTTAAATGTTCTACTTCTTATTGCCTTAAGTTCATAGTACAGATCATTTTTTGGATTTTGAAGAGGAATATTGTATTACCCATTTGTGTTTCTGCTATGGTCGTGAGCCATACGTTTATACCCAGTTCCCTTTATCCAATTGCCCTCTGTTATCTTTATTGTGATCTTGTAGTATTAGCATTCCATCAAAAACAAGTTTCATTTACTGTTGTCTCTCCTTGTCATCGGACATTTTATACAGTAGATACGGGTTGCCGTTTCCAGGAATGCACTCAAACGATGACAGCTTTGACAGCTGTGTTATCTTCTTAGTCAGCAGTCGATGAAAAAACAAACTCCAGACCATCGGCAGCTTCACACTCATCTCTGTAGTTTCACACGCAGAGGCCGTCTGTATGAACGCATAAATACAGGACCATCTACACTTGTGCAACTAATAATTAACCGAGTGGCTTTCGTCTTGAATGTTTCGTTTCGCAAGAGGGGATTCAAAAGATATCAAAAGCACTGGGGTAATGCTCATGCATTCCTAAACACTTTCAACAATTTTGGGTCGTTTTAAGGGGGTTGACCACAGCCCTTTTTAATGTAATCAGGGAGGAATGAGGGAAAGAGGGGAGAAAGAGGAGAACTTGTGCAGGCTTAAAGGAAGTGGCTGGAGAATTAAGACGTCTCTCTAATTACTGTAAGACCAAGAGTTGGAAAACTTCTGATGGCCAAATAAAAAACAAATGTTACAGATGGGAGCAGTGAAACATGAGCCGACTATACCCAGCCCATCCCTGCAATCTCTGAGGAGACCAGAGGATTTTAGAAAGGTCTGACAAGAAACACTCTTATTGTTCAGTAGTTATAAAGGAATAAAGTACAACATATCCAGTATGTGAAGATGAGGAATGGTGGCAAACATTAAGCTGCTATTTATCATATTCTGATGATGAAATTATGCTTTTGTGGAACAATTTTGCAAATAATAACCACTCCTACTTCAATTACTTTGGCATGCTGACAAAATGGCAACTGGGATTATCCGCCGAACCTAAAGCAACGAGGTGTTTTTTTTAAAGATGAATGTTATCAGTGTGACTTCTACGAACAGCTTGATTCCCATTTGCCTGCAGAGTATGAATCTGAACCTCTACATGTTGGGCACAAACCGAACAAAGCTCCTCTCATATGGAACCAACAAAGACGAGTATTGTGGGGCGCTGCGGAAACAGCTGACTCTGCTGGTGGGTGACTAGCTGACAGGCCCACTGTATTGTAAGTCAAACCAAGTTTTTCTTTCTTTGCTACTTTTTTTTTTGCAGGGCTGAAAGACTCGCTCTAATACAAAAGTCATAGAGGAGGGTAGTGAACAAAAAAACCAGGTTATGTAACTCTATTCTAATGTACTCCACCCTGGTTATGGGCTGGTCTCAAAGTGTTTTTTACAGTTGGAGTTAACTGTCGTCGAGCATGGCTGAAACCACATCAGCCCACTTTTAGAGAGAGGGAATCAATCCTGATGCACAAAAGGGTTCTGTCACACAATACTTTAAATGTATTTTTCTTTCTTTCTCGTCAAAGTGATGGGTATTGTTGGTGGGAGATTCCTGTAGCATCTAAAGCCTTCATTAGTACCTCAAACATTAAGTATTGCAGTACATGGAAGGTCAAAAGTCACATGTCAACACTATTTTGACCCGTTCTCCACCACCTCCAGTCTGCATGATTTATTCGCTCCAAGGACAAGTTTGTGTGTGGAGCCAGTGTCCAATGAGCCATTTTATTATTTAAATCCTGACTGCCCCCTCCCTCCCTCCCTCTCTCCCTCCCTCTCTCCCTCTGTATGTATACTCCCATTTACACTGCACTTCTTGGCAGCAGCCTGTTGTTTTTGCTGAAGAGGAAAAGAACAAGACAGCCCTGGTAAAAATCTCTCTCAGACAGAATTCCCTCTCTTTTAAACTCCCGGGAGAGGTGGAGGACTGGAAAGTGCCAAGGCCTTTCTGCAGAGAGGCTGTCTAAGAACAAGACAAACCATATGAGAGCTAATGCACGGGTGAATGAAAGAGAAATAACTCTTCATGGGCTGAATTGACTTCATTTACTATGAATTGTTTGGTCCATCAGATTTGATGACTTGTGACAAAAGAGTAAGCCCGGCTTTTTCTTACATTGCTGACCAATAACTGTGGTGGAATTCAAAAGATGCAATGCAAAGTAACCCCTGGGCCGGGAGAACAGCCACAGGAACTGAAGCGCCCATTAGGAATGACAGCAAATCGCTTTCAGAGCCAAAATAGAGTCCAATATCCAAGTTGGCCAGACACTCAGGACTGGTTAACAAACTCAGTTTGGGTTCTGTCCCAGACAAAAAAAAGATGTCAATGGAATTCACACTAAAGAAATAAGGAATAATCATGTATTATGTCTATCAGACCAGCTCATATACAGTACATTGTAATGCAAGCCTTCTCAGTCAGACATATTGCAAGGAAAGCCCCTAGTCAATGCTGTGGCTTGTTGAAGCATGCAGCGGAGACTAGACCTCCACACACACAAACACTCATACTTCAGTATTAAATACATAAACCTCATATTTGTCTGCATGACATCAGATCACACAGAAACCCTAAGGGGTGGTTTTTCCAGCGGCCTCCGAAACAAAGGTGATTTGATGTCTGATGCAAGACACCTTTTAATTATGAGACATAAAAGTGACTAATACACCAATCCTGGCAATTCATGAAACTGTTGTAAACTCACACAGACTCTGTTATAACAGTTTGTTCATATGTTAAAGCTGTTCCGTCTCTTTCAACCTGCCTTCAAGTGTCTCAAAATCCCCCTTGCAAATTCAACATCCCGCCAAGCCTCGAGACATGAAACCCTTAAGAAGTCTCATCGCTACACGGGGAACATTCGCTGATGCATGTCTCGCACTGCGTAATTATGACAAAAAGCACGAGTCAAAGTGAATTTTACATTTTTCAAAAGATGGGTGTTTTTCTCTTTTCTTTTTTTTTGCTGTCCGCTGCATGCAGCTGAGGATTAGTGGTCAGCGTTTGATGATGCAACGCCGTTACTATGCTTTTGCAGTCGAGCAGAAAAGCCTGTGCTGCAGCTTTTAGGCCCACACTGGCCTCAAACAAAGACACCTACACAGCCCGGCACCGAGAGGAGACGAGCTGAAGCCAAGGGCGGGGAGCGGAAATGTCATGTATTAGTTATGAAATATAGGAACGTACACAACGAGAGCTCTGGCTTCGATCCAAAACTAATCTAACTGCATGTGAGCCGCAGATAGTTGGAGGTGTGTGTGAGGGTCCCTATATGTAAGCATGTCCTATACTGTGTCTACAATCTGCTGCGTTCTCTGCTCACACACTCGATCTGTCTTCAACTCCAGCAAATGTGTCCATTTCCGGAGTCTTTCCTGAGAGCAATTAGCAGTGCTGAGGAATTTAGTCCTTTACCAATAGCTAGCAGCACGACTGGAGGCCCCATTATCCTCGTCCCCTATAGAGACGGGTGGGGGGGTTACAAAGGTTACTCATTACCTTTATATACTGCTGCTTTTTAAATAAGAAGCCCACTAACAGCTAACCTCTACCAGCACAGTCATTTTGGTGACTGAAAGCAGGGGTTGAAGGTATTTGCTCGCTAATTTATCTTTTCCTGAGACACAAAATGAAATCCTTCTGCTGCCAAACTACTTAACTTTAACTTGTTTTACGGGAAATACATGCAACCTTCCAAGATTCTATTTGAACAGTTTTTCTGTCAGCTCACTTTATTAAAGTCTAATAACCCACATACCACCAACATCTTGCAAAACTCTTGCAAACAACTTCCCCAGCGCTCGACACGAGTGCTGAAAGTGAACAATGAGCGCAAAGGCTCGGGCCAAGGCATGCTCTCTAAATCTGTGGCCAAGGTCTGAGCGATCATCATTATCGTCTGCACTCAGTCAGGCTGTGTGTTGAGTTACAGCCTTTTGCAATCCTCAGAGGAAACCAGGGAATTTGGCACCGACTTTCCTCGAGGACGGGACAGTCCAAATATACAGTATCTACATTCCTCCATCCCCTCATTATATTTTCATTGGAGGGACAAGACACAGCGCTCCGTAATAACGCCTGTTGTTCTCATTGTGCCGAGGTCATCTCTGGTCAGTAAACTCCGAGGTGACGGTGTGTGGGAGTGGAAGTGATTATCACAACAGAAAATAGGATCCCTTTTTTATTTGAGCTTTTATTTATTTTCAGTCTTCCAGGCTAAAGATTGAACCTTCCTATAGCAATTAAACACAATGATGAACATTTAACCTTGTGCAAAATTGTGAATGATGATGTGAAGATCAATGGTAATGAGGGAGCTTTATTTCCCCCCTCACATTTACAGTTTGCGAGCTGGAGTACAGTGCATGCAGAGGTTATAAATGAAAAAGCACAAGGCCAGGTAGTTTAGCTTTTGCATTTAATTGTAGACTGCAGCCTTATAATGAAAACAATATTCCAGTCAAATGGAAACACAAAGCACCTGCAGATATGCACAAGGTATGAGGACTGTGGCTGCCTTCATTCGAACATTACTATGTGATCTTTGGCTGGATTCCTGCTCGGCCTGCTTCATGCCATGCAAACAGTCACACATCTATATTCTGCATCTGGGTGGTCCTGGTTGAATTATTATATTGTTGCTATTTTTCTCCATGCTGTAAATCAGGATTAGACTTTGCATGGCACTGAGCTTTGGCTTGGCTCAGACATGGATTAAATGAATCAAAATACAAAAGCCAGTTCAAACGTATGGATTTTGCGTCAATGACAAATCCAAGGCAAGTTATGTGTAATCCCTGACAATAAGATATTGGCCAACAAAGTCAAGAAAATCAGACTTAATACAGCCTGTTGAAGCAATCACCGTCATTATGTAATATGTGGTTTTCACTTTAATGCCGCTTCATGTTTTTTTCTCCGATATTTCCTCATCTGCCGCACGTCAAGCACACGCCTGCTCTGTGTCTTCAATGAGATTTGTAAAGCTTTTGTTCATCCCTGAGGCTGCAAGCCAAAACGTCAATGTGTAGGTCGACATCTTGAGTCTGGACTGCAAAAGGAGATAGCTGACTTCAAGTCCAAAAATAATTTCAAGAAAATGGAAACCCTAACTATTTAAATGAGCCTTTCACTGTGCTCTTTTCTTTAAAACAACACTGGCTTTAATGTCTCTCGGCTACACCTTTGGACATTTGGGTGTTTGCTTCCATAGTGGACATCTAGCCTGACACTGTTTCTACAGACCATGTGGAAAGGCTTATGGAGACTACAATGTGATACTGATAATGTGATACAGTGAATAGCTGCACCCCCCCAGCATTAGTATTAGTATCATTGAGCCTGGCTGTTGCATAGTTGGCTCTCTCGCCTGCAATGCGTCTGCTGTCTGTTCAGTGTACTGGGGTGCAGCTCGGCAATTCCAGCTCTCCAGAGACGCACTGGAAGGCATTTCTACTTAAAATAAACCCTGTGCGCCCACGTCCAGTCTCTCAGCCCTGTCGGCCCCGCGCTGCTTGTCGGCTCGCCAGCCCTTCCCCATTAATCCACTGACTGCAGCGTTCCATTTATGCAGAGACCATCGTATGGATGTGCCCGGAGGTGCTGGGACATTTAAACCCTCTGCAACACACTCTCCTTCACTTCATAGATAAAGACACAAATGAACCATATAAATAAAGAACATACAAATAGTTTCCCCTGCATGGCATGTTGTGCTGGAGAGCATGCACTTGCTGCATAGGAAAACATTGAACCTATGAACTTGCAAGTCACAAACCCACACGCACGCACATGATCCGCCCTCACCATCATATTTCCCATTCCATGATTGGCCTTTAACCCTCAGGCCAACAAGGGCAGATATCTAACGCTACCTCTGGTCTGGATAGAGTTACTGATACACAGCCAAGTGTAAATCTTTTAAAAGACCATCATGTAGACAAGAGGACAATATTTACCGGCTCATCACAACAACAACAGTGAGAAAAGGATTGATGGTGATATAGGAGAAGAGTAATACTGGAGTCTGTTTCTAGTATGCATATTCACACGAGAGATCACTCACACAGTTTCCTTTATCCAGTGGAGTAAAACATAAAAAGCATGTGCACTACTATCGGCCAAAGCAAAGATTACAAATCAGAGCTCAGATTCTTCGCTTTACTCACATGCTGCCAAATAAACCTCACACTTAATTTACATTACTTATGTTCCAAGGAGAAACAGATTTGCCTAGAACATTTTTTTCTGTTCAGAAGTAAAAACTCAAGAGAGCTCCCTGAATAATTGTATCTTAAACTATTCTGAAGGCTTGGTACTTACTCAGAGAAAAGTTGTCAGTCGTCTTCTGTCAATGATGCAACTGTGTTTGGACGCTGTAGAGAGGTAATAAGATATGAATAAGTGTGAGTACTGAGCAGAACAAAAACTATTTTCACAACTGATTAATAGTATTAGGGAATTATCGAGCAACAGTGCTAAACATCCTCTTTTTCCTGTTTCTTAAATGTGAGGATTTTCTACCTTTTCCTATGTTATGTCATGGTAAATGTACTCTCTGTGGTTGATCTGATCTGACCTTAGGCTCTGGAAAACTGAATAATCATTAGTTAAAGAAAATGATGCATAATACAATTGATAATTTACTTGAAGCCCTTTGTATTATGAGACTCACTGGTATACAGTTTGTTTTGCAAATCTGGTATTATTAGCTTATGCATCTTGCAGCTGCACGCAAAGTGTTGACTCTCCAGTGTAGTTAGAAAAAAGGTAGATGAACAGTACGTGCTAGCCGATTATAGTGTTACAACATAATATGCATATGGCATGAAAAATACAGCATTAAAACAATTGAATATGCATATTTCTTCAATGTAAAGGTATAAACGCGTGCAGTTTGGTGCAGCAGACTAGCTTAGCTTGCAGTTACGTAGAAACCCCACAGTGTGTGTAGCGTTACATAATCGTCTTCACAAGGCTAACCGACACTTCTCCTGTTTAGCAACACTGACATTAAAACTGCCCTGATGAAAATACCTCCAGTTCGTCCCAAGCTGGTGTTTAATTTAGCAAACATGTCTGCAAATAACGAGCTGCAAAGCGACTGTTGCTACAACAGTGATAACTACAACCTATTAGCACACAAAAAAGACTTCTGCGGTAAACACCACGGAAAACTTTAAAACTATTTAAACTGTTTTTTTTATTGCAGAAATAAGTCAATATACATCCTCTTAAAAAATATGAATATTTAATATTAAAAAGCATACATGTCACAAACCATATACAGCGTGTCTCTAACAACGTGGTGGGAAAAGTGTAGAAAATATGCAATAATGTCAAGCCTGGACCAACATTTAGCTAACTATTAGCACTAAAACAAGAAGGGGATAAAAACAATAGCGATGGCACTCAGTCTTACCTGGTGTGCGTCCAAAAATCCGCAGTAATATTGGGACGGTGTTGGGAGTCGGATGCAGGTTTTGGGACTAAAGGGGGCCGTTGCATCAGCCCGTTTAAGTACTGTGTGATCTTGTCTGAGGGCTCAGGAATGCGGAACTGCTGTCCCAGACGTAAGCATGGATGAAAATAATGTAAGAGGAGGTTTGTTTGCTCCACCCCTAGCAACCAAATAACAAACACAGACTGCAGGAGAGGAAACTTTCAGATAGAGAGGCAGACAGGGAGAGTGAATGCACGCCTCCAGCCATAAAACCAGTCACTAATAATGCTGTAAACATAAATACACTGATGTTAGCTGCAGGTGTTTTATTATTTGGGTTAAACTCTAGAGCTAACATCACCATGCTTCATAAGTAAGGAAACTTATTTACAGTGCTGGAAAGTAAATGTACTGAAGTATTAAACCACAGGTGTCCAAACTATGGCACAGGGGCCAAATGCGGCCTGTTGTCCATAAAAGTATAATGGGATTGGACTACGGCCCACACCTGAAACTTGTGCTTTTCTTATATTGTACGACGTCTTAAATATATATGTAGACATACATTACATAGTAGTATTCATGTGTTAGTAAGCCCTTTCCAAGCCATCTAAAATATATTCTGTCAATTAAAGTTGAAATTTTTTTCTAACAAATCTTGGTTGATAAAAATGACAAGCTTGAAATATACCTTCATATTTCCCCTTTATTATAATCAATCTGATGCTTCTGTTTCAAGGAATGAGCTGACAATACTTTTGTTACAAAATAAATGAAACCCTATAGAGAACTGGGATGTATGCTGTATGTAAGTATATTCAAGTTTGAAGCATAATTTGCCCACATTTGCTAATTTATAACTTAAAGGTCGGGTAGGTAATTTTGGAGAAACCAGCTCGAGTGCACTACAATTTGAAAAAATCTGCCACTTCCTTACAGAGCCCCTCCTCCAACACACTCGAACGCGCACATAACCAATGAGGGCACGAGATAAGTTTGTGCACGAGATAAGAAGGCTGACAGGCAGGTAGGCCATCCAGTTATCTGACCCGGGCCGGCTAAAATGATTGGTCGTGCTTTTTACAGCGCTACGGCTTCCACAGATGAACATTTTTGTATGTATTTATTGTCAAAGCACTTCCTATATTCATTGCTATCTGGATGTTAAGAGCATTCCATGGAATATAACAAAAAGTGTTTCTGAAATCAATTACATACCCCACCTTTAACTTAACACATGAAGCAATATACCTCTACTCCAGTGAGTGGCCCAGCACTTCGTATATTTTTCTGTATGTGGCCCTCAGTGAAAAAAAGTGTGGACTGCCCTGTATTAAACTATCTACTCCGCTACATTTCAGAGGTACATATTCTACTTTTTAAGTTTCTTTGTAGATCCAGATAAATTATAAAAATAGAATCAACAAAAGCAAATATGGCATATTACACAGTGGCACAGTTGCCCAATAACCCAAAACAGGTCTCAGTGGACTTTACAGAAACAAACAGCATTGTAAACAAAACAGGAAAATAATGAAAAGACAAGATAGAGTATAACATGTAAATAAAATGAATTAAGATACAAGAAAAGACAATAGACATACAATAAAATGTAGGAACCAGGAAGATGTACATAGGGAATAATCTAAAACCAGCTCTAACTAAAGGCTTTGTTAAAAAGGAAGTCTGCCTCTCTGATAAAAACAGGACGTTTGCCTTTGTGGATCCATGGAGTTAATTTGCAAACTAGGAGTGTATGCTATAAATAAAAAACAGCTGCAACATTTAAGTGAGGAATGGACTAATGCATCATTATAATTATATACTATATGGCATTCTTAAATGAGCCATTCTGCATAATGAGTACTTGTGTCACAGTATATTTTTACAGTGAGATCAACAGGATTTGAGCAACAAAAGTATTTATTTTTCTTTCTAATACAGTATGTCTTTGAGATTATTTAAACATGTATAAGGATGTGGCTTTGTTCCCGATAACTTTCAGAAGTTGTTGTTAAATGACTGCGTTACCCCAAAATAGGGAAATTAGCCATTAAGCTCTTACAGGGAAATTAGTTATCAACAACCCGAAAGTACTCAAAAAATGTTTCAGTCTACAAATGACAAACACAAACCAATTTAAGTCAATATGCATTTGTATGTGATGAATCTTTTGGAAGAGCATAGACATCCCTTCCTGTTATATCCCTGTTAACTATTAACATTCAATCTGGTAAACAGAACTTAACTGTGATTGTTCATGCAAAGGCAAAAATGAAAGTATTTCACCTTGTTTGTCATCCTCTACCCGGAAGTTATTATGCTTTCAACGTTGCATTTGGACGTTTGAGTAGATGTATTGTGCGTTATAAGACTGAAAGGGAAACACACTATTACTTTTCTCAGACAAATTCACAGAGAGCAGAACTCTTATTATTTCAGGTGCAGGAAGTTTAATGCCCAAGTAATGCAGTAAATCTTGAAGAGTTTTTGCACATGTAGCTTTAGCTAATGAAATCCATTTTTATTTTCTCAACTTAATAAAGCGGTTACTTGATTCATAACACACACTAAACACACATGCACAAAATAATGGCTTCTAAAGGAGAAACTTCAGAAAGTTCCAGAAATCTGAAACTGAACATCTCCCTCTGCTGCTTCCCTCTAGTGTGGCCTGTTGTCACTACATCCTGCTGCTCTGCCTTTATTGAACTAAAATGTGTCTGTTTGTAGCACATTATGGGGACATGAAGTTATACTCTTCAAGCACTAAAAGAAAAAACCTCTGAAAAACAATTCCTAATTGATTTTGGCTATTTCTCTTGCTAATTTTCTATTTGAATGTTGACAGTTCTGCACACCTAGATGTATTTTTCAATATAGCCATCTTTATAGCCATATAGCTGTATAAATGGTGCCAAATTACATTACATTACATTGCATTTAGCTGACGCTTTTATCCAAAGCGACTTACAATAAGTGCATTCGACCAAGAAGATACAAACTTGAAGAAAACAGAATCATATAATACATCAGGTTTCATTGAGCTAAACATTTCAAGTGCTACTCAACTGGCTTTAGATAAGCCAGTCCTGTATTAGTATATAAGTGCTTTGTTAGCAATTCTTTGTTAGTAATTTTATTGCTCGAAGTGGAGTCGAAAGAGATGAGTTTTCAGTCTGCGCCGGAAGATGTGCAAGCGATCTGCTGTCCTGATTTCAATGGGGAGCTCATTCCACCATTTTGGAGCCAGGATAGCAAACCCACGTGTTTTTTCTGATGGGAACTTGGGTCCCCCTCGCAGCGAGGGTGCAGCGAGCCGTTTGGCTGATGCAGAGCGGAGTGCACGTGCTGGGATCCATTCGCAGCATGGTACGTAAGTACCAGTGCCTTGAAGTGGATTCTATCAGTTACTGGAAGCCAGTGAAGGGAGCGGAGGAGCGGTGTGGTGTGGGAAAATGTTGGAAGGTTGAAGACCAGACGAGCCGCTGCATTCTGGATGAGCTGCAGAGGTCGGATGGCACATGCAGGTAGACCAGCCAGGAGGGAGTTGCAGTAGTCTAGGCGTGAGATGACGAGAGCCTGGGCCAGAACCTACGTCGCTTTCTGGGTCAGGAGGGGACGTATCCTCCTGATGTTGTAAAGCGTGTATCTGCAGCAGCGGGTTGTTGCAGCGATGTTTGCAGTGAAGGACAGGTTGTTATCTAGGATCACAACCAGATTCCTTGCAGTCTGAGTCGGGGAAACAATAGAGGTGCCGATATTGATTGTTCGGTCAAGAGTGGGACAATCTTTACCCGTAAGGAAAAGCAGTTCAGTCTTGTCAAGGTTGAGCTTGAGGTGATGATCAGACATCCACTGAGAGATGTCAGCTAGACAAGCAGAGATGCGTGCGACGACCTGGGTCTCTGAGCGAGGAAAAGACAGAATTAATTGGGTGTCGTCAGCGTAGCAGTGGTATGAAAAACCATGCGGGCTAATGACTGATCCGAGCGAGTTTGTGTACAAGGAGAAGAGGAGGGGACCAAGAACAGAGCCCTGAGGGACCCCTGTAGTTAATTGACAAGGGTCGGACTCGGACCCTCTCCAAGTCACCCTGTAGGTACGGTCTTTGAGGTATGAGGTGAGGGGGAAAGTGCAGAGCCTGAAACTCCAAATTCTTGGAGAGTGCGAAGGAGGATCTGATGGTTCACCGTGTCGAATGCAGCAGACAGGTCCAGAAGGATGATGACAGAGGAGAGGGAGGCTGCTTTAGCAGTGTGCAGTTCCTCAGTAGACAGCAATGAGAGCAGTTTCTGTGGAGTGACCTGCCTTGAAACCAGACTGGTGCGGATCCAGAAGGTTGTTCTGATGGAGATAACAGGAGAGTTGTTTAAAGACAGCGCGTTCAAGTGATTTAGACAGGAATGGGAGTAGAGAGACAGGCCTGTAGTTTATAACATCGGACGGGTTGAGAGTGGGTTTCTTTAGGAGAGGGTTTACTCTTGCCTCCTTGAGACTGTTTGGAAAGTGACCAGAAGTTAGAGAAGTGTTGATGAGATGGGTGAGAAACAATAGAATATCAGGAGCGATAGTCTGAAGGAGGTTTGAGGGGATAGGGTCCAGGGGACAGGTGTTAGGGCGGGCAGAGGTAATGAGGGTAAGAACCTCACTTGGAGAGAGAGGGGAAAAGGAGGTTAGTGTGTGGGTGAAAGGAGGGTCTGGTGACCCAGCGGTGAGTAAAGGTGAGTCAGAAAAAGAAGAGCGAATATCATTAACCTTTTTTTCAAAGTAGTTAACAAAGTCGCTTGACAGAAGGGAGGAGGGGGAAGGGGCTCTGGGGGGGGTCTAAGAGGGTGGAAAAGATGGAAAATAGTTTTTTGGGATTGGAATAGGAAGATTGGATCTTATCTTGAAAGAAAGTGCTTTTTGCCTGAGAGATCAAATCTACCGGTGCATTACTTTACAAATATCAAAGTCACATCTGAACTGCATTTACATTTCAGAGAAAAATTAAAGTTGTATCCTCCAGCTGCCTGAGGAAAATTGTGTTTTAGTATTATTTAAATAAAAAACAACCCATTCATCCTGTGCACCGTTTATTAAGTCTCAGGTTTGGATTCATTACTATTATCAAAGGAGAGATTTGTTTTTTGCATGCTGCCATCTCAACTGTTCCACCAAGAACAAGCCTCTGAGTTATTAGAGGCTCGCCGAAATACCCCACTCTGTTCCTTTTTTTAGAT